AGTACAGAATGGATGTAAGTAACATCAGACAACATGCAAGCAAGTCATTAGTATAAGCTAAGACACACGCCTTCCTCAACTTTATGGTACTATATAACTGCAAATACCATGGTTGTTTTGGAAACCGTGTAAAACAGGTAACTTTAGCAATATGTGTTCTCAAAAATAACAAAAGATAACATAACAGAAAAGGGTATTTCAGTCTTTTTGATTAGCATGTTACTGTACAAAGTCAAACTGATGAGTTTGTTTACTTTAATGAAACCAGTATTCCCTGACTGATTCCACACCCCACTAATGTAGCCTTCCAGTGTCCATTCATCTAATCAGTTTTGTGCAACTGCCTGTGTTAATATGGCTTTCTATTGGTGGGGTTTGTGGATTGCTTTTTTGAATATATAAAAACATGGACACATTTCTCTCAGAAAGACTGTGTTTACCAGCAACAACTCTGTGAAATGCTATCAAACTCTGTTTAGGCTTCTTCTCTCTTTATAGTGTACTACCAGAGAACATAGAGCAGGCTTGTGAAGAACACCTGTCCTAGTTAATGCAGAAAAATGTTAATAATTCATACTGCAAACAGTACTGTTTAAAATTCTCCACTGTGGGACCAACCTGATTATACACAAAATTCAGATATATTTTAGTCTTATAATTCTAAGTCAGATCAAAATTGGCATTACTCATGAACATATCTAACTAATCTTAAGATTTTCCTTCTTCTTGATGTACAACTCCTTTTGCTCTGTCTCAGCAGTTTACACAGTTTCTTTCATCTACAGCTCTCATATTGTAAAAAAATAACATATTAATGCCAGAAACATTAAGACAAAAGCTCGCAAACATTAGAGTCAGATTTAAAATTATTTACTTTTTTTTCCCCAAATACTTAAGCATTCTGCAGATACCAATCTACACCACTAGGCACAGGAAACATAGCACACAAGAATATCAGTACAGCATCTTTCAAGCATGAAGATCATCGTCTTGGGTGCAGAGTTCAACAACACCCTGAGAGAACCAGAGTCTACCTTGGATTTCTTCAGCTTCAACACATCTTATGCCAAAATCTACTTGCCACTATGTGACAAAGCCTACTGGTATTTGGTATACAATAAATAAATAGATTAACCTAATGAACACACTTCCCAACAGCAGAAAACAGTAACAGAGCTTGAACTAAAGTGTGAGATAATCTTTGTTAAAGATCTGATTTTCTCACAGCTTTCACAAATAATGCAGACTACAAAAATGATAATTCACTTATTACTGATATGGGCTTCAGCATATTTGATTAGACTGTTAGCTTCTCTCGCCTCATGTCATGTGCGAAAGAACTTTGAGGTTTTTCATTCCAATTTGAAGGAGAACCTGCATTGTTACTACTATTTACATATCTATATGGTTTTAGTTTTATTTTGTGAATTTTATGCTTCTTACATCAAAATAAGCATATTTAAGTGATTTTTTAACTACACTTAAAGGTTGTTGCAGGCACAAAAAAGACTAGAAGTGGTAAAATTTCGCCCTAGGATGGCAAACACAGTAATGTGACATTCTGACAGTTTCTCAGGCTTGAAGGAAAACACACACTGACACCATGAGAAGGACTAGTAAAGGCAACTGCAGGCACAAAATCAACTACAACATCCAAAAATGTGTCTGACTATCCTAATTTTTTTTGTGCTTTCTGGTGCACTTGATGCAGACTTCTGCAATGCCTCATAATTGAAAACTCTTACTGTGTTTTCTAATTATGCCAAAAATCTAGCTACTGAGCGATGCTTTTCTTCATCACAGACATGTACTGTACCACTATCCACAGTATTATCTATCTGAGAGCTAAGTTCCAGGCTATTAATTACAATTTCCTATTTAATGACAAATAATGATATTTCCATTTCACTAAAAGGGCCTTCCACTAAGAGATTTTTAATCAGTATGATTAACAACGAACCTAAAGGCCACATCAGATCAAGTGAAAGTATTGCATTATAAAAACAAAGGCCCTAAATTGTAAATTTTAGAAAACTGGGATAAGCTGGCTAAGGAGTTCAGAATCTCTTTTTGTCTTATTATCCCTAGTATTGATTGAAGTCTCTCCACCTTGAAATTGTTGGTGAGGACAAATCTATTGAGTCTCATTAAATCCAGCACAGGAACAAAGTCCCCAGAGCATTTGGGACCACTAAAACAGATGCTATACATTTTAGAAATATATTCTCTATCCTTGAGAATGAGAACTACAGCTGCAATATGAAATAAGTATCAATTTATTTCCATAAATGCTCTAACGTTAAGAAGTTATTGTAGGACGCAGCACCCTTAAAATTTGTACTTAAAAGGAAAAAAAAAAAAAAAAAAAGAAAAAAAAAGGTATGTCAAATCAATGTAACATGATAAAACAGATTACAGATCTTCACATGTGTATCCTGCCCACTACAGCTAGACTTGGAAGACAATTTGTAGTCCTCAATGGATTTACACAAAATCCAGTGCAGGTTCATGACCTGCTCTGGTTTATCAGAATTGTTTTTTTTCTTTCATTCTGTCTACTGTTCCGTACTACACATTTACCATCCAAACAAAGAGCGG